CAAGGATATTGGGGGACAATTAATTTGCTTTGCCCCCACTACAAAAAAAAAATCCTGGGTGGGACAAATGAGTGGCAAATTAAGTGCTTTGCCCAAGGGCACACGCACCACAACCCCAGGGCGAAATAACAAGAACTATTTTATTTCGCCATAACTGATTGCAATGGTACCTCACCAGTTTAGTTTCAACAGAACGTAATAAAAAACATGTATTTTTAGATGATAAGCATATGTTACATAAACTCCAGGGACTCAGAGGCTCTGTCAAATTCCAAATTGAAGTCTACCGACACTGCTTATGTTTTTGAGTAGTCATAATGTGAACCAAAAAAAGTGGATCACGTCTCCCATATTAGGCAGCTTTTTTTCTGCTTCTATTACTTTGACTGGATGGCTGGCTTTAAAATAAATTGTCTTCACAAATTAATATTCATGAGTAGAAACGAGGAAGAACAAAAGACAAATGGACAATAATTGCAGCCTCTCATTTCCAACAAGCCTCCTTCTACAGTATCAGATTTAGGGGGGCGGTTGCAAATCCTCTCTGCCGTTCAGCAGCTGCCTAATTTTATAAACTATTAAAATGGGACCCAAAAATAACGGAGCAAACTTTTATTATGCCCTGCAAAAACCAAAAAGCCACAAAATACTTTTTTTTTATTTTTTTTTATAGAAAATATTGAGCATATTTTATTGCTTATGCAGAAAATTATGATTCGTACAGTCAAGCCAGGAACCGTTCTTTCGATAATTCAGAATATAATTTTATTACGTCTGTGCAAAGACAAAACAGCCATAATTTTGTGTATTTTTAGATGACAGGCATGTGTTACATTAACTCCAAGGACTTTAGAGGATCCGTCAATCTCCAAATTGAAGTTTGACGTTTTTATTTTCGGGTAGCCATGTGCAGCACCAGAAATGCGCTTTAAAAGTTAGATTATGTCTTCCATATTATTTGCCGAGGCAGCAACCAACTTCCAATTTAGCAAGCAGTGATCAAACTCCTTTTTGTGCCGTAGTGTGGTTAGGGTTTGTGACTCATGATCAGAGGGTCAGGAGTTCGAATTCAGGTGCTGGCCATTATGTTGTGTCCTAGGGCAGACTTCATCCACGCTTGACTCTCTCCAACCAGGAGTATAAATGGGTGCCGGAATTAGCTGTGGAGTAACCTGCGATGGACTAGCATCCCATCCAGGGGAAATAGAAATATTCTCTGAAACCGGAGATAAATGCCGGCGCTGCCCATGGCCCAATGGGCCACACTTGCTCCTGACAGACTTTACTATTTAATTACTACTTTTTATCATCAAAAAAGTGGTGGGTAAATGCCCCCATGCCCACCCTCGAAAAAAGATAAATTGAGAATATGCTGGCAAAAGTACAGGTATTTGTTTGTTGTTGTTGGTTTTTTTTTTGGGGGGGGGGGCGAAATGTGCATTACCCCCCTCTAGAAAAAATCCTGGCGACGCCCATGGCATTCGACGTGGCAGTCCCTGGCAGGTAGGTGTGTGTGTGTGTGTGTTCCATAATTATTTGAATAATAATCTAAAGTCTTTATTCTCGAACAACAAAGTTTACCGTACAGAGGAGCCAGTTGATTGGCCAAGATCCATTGATCACGCCCCTTCGTTTTAGCGAGGAATGTGATTTGCCAGGACGACTGTCATGACGAGCTGTCACAAACCGTCATGACTAACCGTCCAAAACGAAGAACGCTTCTTACACCCACATCTGATGACCTCAAGTAGTGATGGTGGTGCTGGCGGTTTGTCCGTTTGTATGGGAAGATTATTATACGGCATTTGGCAAATTTGGGAAACATAGGGACCTAGAAAGGTACCCAGGACTAGCATAATGATGAAATCAATGTAAAAGGACAAATTGTTGTTTAAAGTACCCCAAAAAGCAATGTAGGACGAGAGTTATGGCAAAATCAATATGAAAACTCGAGGTTCGCGTTTGTTGAGTTACAAACGCAGAGTGGTCGGGCTGGCATATTTTCTTGTGTTTACAGTGACTTAATTATAATTGAACTGCACAATACCCCTCCCATTACCCTGCACCCATTACCCTGTGTTTTTCACAAAGAAAATCACACAACCTGCAGTTGAACTTGTTGCTACCTGGGCAAGACTTGTAGGCCTATCAGGAAGCGCACATCTGGTGCTGCATGGATGGCTACTCAAGCATACAACCAGTTGGGCCTATTGGTAGAGTTAACGAAGCCTCTAACGTGGTTGGAGTTTATGCAACAGAATTATGCTAATCTTAAAATAAAATGGATGGTTTTTTTTTTGGTTTTTTTTTGTCTTTTGCATGGGCATAATAAAATTCTGCACTAAAGTTACGACATTGGTAAAATTGACAGAGCGTCTCACGTCGTTAAAGATTATGAAACATAATTATGCTAATTTTAAGATAAAATTGCTTTTATTTTGTTTTTTTCTTGGTCTTTTGCATGGGTATAATAAAATTCTGCGCTGAATTTACGACAACGGTAGACTTGACGGAGCCTCTAACGTCGTTGGAGTTTATGCAACATATGCTAATTTCATCATAAAATGGCTTTTATGGGTTTTTTCTTTTGCATGGGCATAATAAAATTCTGCACTGAATTTACGACAGAAAAGTTTGTGGCTACACGCTGTAGAAATATTAATTTTCAGCATTCAGATATGAGAGGAAAACTGGCGAGGTGCGATTTCAATCGGTTATGGCGAAAAATATCAGAAAATGGACGAGAATATTAGAATTGAATTCATGGTCAGAATCGGAATCGGTAGACTTGAGGGAGCCTCTATGACGTGTTTGGAGCTTAATATATGCAACATTTGATTATCTCAATATCAAAAATAAAATGGCTTATGTCTTTTGCATGCATGGGCTTCCTAAATTTCTGCACTGAGATAACGAAAAAAAAGGTTTGTGGCTACACTGTCGAACTATTAAATTTCTGCATAAAGGTACGAATTAAAGAATCAGTGTTGATATGCGAGTTACGCCGAAAGAAATCAGAAAAAAGAATATTAGTTTTGAATGCTTTGTGTGATTTTGTACAAATTCCTGGATCCTCCCCTGGGTTTATTCTTATAAGAGCTGTGATTTTGCAGTCCCTGGTGAACAAATATGATGAAATTATGTGGTAGCAGTACTATTATTGTAAGCAGCCGCTTTCTTATTTGTTCCAACAAATATAGTAAAACGTAGAAAAATGTAGTAAAATACTTCCGCTTCCTAGTTATATTCAGTTTTTATTGCACTTCCGGTAACACCGGAAGTAAAGGTCAAGCGGTTTCGTGTCCGGGAACAGGAAATGTTACTCAAGGCATAGTCTACAACCTCAAGAAAAAAACGAACACGATACTCTACTGAGATCAAAAGTATAGCTCAAACTATTTTGTCCAAATTTGCCCTTCCATCACTTTGCCCTTACATTACGTCCTGATGACGTAACCAAATTTATAACATCTTCGTAACATGGTACAAATTCACACTAGGTTTTATGATCATCCCGTAAACCGTTCGGAAGAAATTTTGCTTTGTTTTAATTTCAGGCTTAAGTCTTCATTTTGAATTCACGTAATTTTGACCTTCCGGTAGACCCGGAAGTAAAGGTCAAGCGAGTTCACGTACACGACAAAAAATGTTTATCAACTAATGGTCTATCTGATTGCAAAGTTGAAACGTAATTGATCACTTTGTTTAAGAGTTATAGGTGAAAGTATTTGGCCCATTTTTTTCTCTAAAATCGCTTGTAATTTGACACCCAATGACGCCATCATGAAGTCAGAAAAATATGCACCACTTGGGACGAGGGTCGATATATGTTGAAAGTTACAAGTTCATACCATATACTGTTTATGAGAAAATCCGCGGAAACTTATTGTCCAGAAAAAAAGAAAGAAAGAAAGAAGATTAATCGTAACAACTCCAATCAGTGGTCGGGTTGTGCCCGACCACTCAATCATGGTTTAAGTGGCCATTTTGAATTTATGCAAATTATGCATATTTCCACCACTTGGATTTTTGGACCTTTTTTAGGGGCCTTATAGAAATGCACTGTGGTGTGATATTTAGTAAATAACTGAACTTGGATTATCAGGAAAATTCAATTGTGACATGTCCACACATGACAGCCATAATTTTAACTTTAATTTATGCAAATTAATATATTGCATTTATGCAAATTATTATACGGCATATGGCAAATTTGGGAAACATGGGGATCTTGAAAGTTACGTAGGACTAGAATAATTATGAAATCAATGTAAACGGACTACAATTGTCGTTTTAAGTACCTGAAAAAGCTAACGAATATAAGAAATATGACCAAATCAATGTGAAAGTCCAACAATTTTCGGCCATTTTGGATTTAGGCAAATTAGGCATATTTCCACCACTTGGATTTTTTTGGACTTTTAGTATGTCATTTTAGGGACCTTATAGAAATGCACCGTGGTGAAAAAAATTCTGTTGCAATTTGTTTGAGGTTCACTCAAAAAATGAAGTATTTTGCCTGGACTATATGGGGCCATCGCAGATTTGTCCTTGGGAAAAATATACCATATAGGCAGAATAACAAGCAAAGGCAGCCAATTTGAAATTTGAAAATTGCTTGTTTTTCTACCTTTATTTTTTTCAAAGGACATATTTGCGATATAGCCAAATAACTTTCTCATGATATACTCTGACTGCCAAATTCCATGCTTGTATCATGAAATATCAGCACTTTCGTTTTCCCGAGCATATTGCAACTTTTTTTGTTAACTGATACATCTGGGCTTTTCTATCCATTAATGTTTAAAATATGACATCTTTTGTTGGAAACGGACCTCTGTAGTTAATAGTTTATGTGCTTAGTCTGTGGGAGAGTGTTGTATTACAGGGACAAAGGGAAAGACAATGGCTTGTCCTATTGAATTATGTAAAGTACGACTGTGTAATGTAGGCCTACTCGGGTGTTTTCTCTAACGCAAGCAGCAAAAGCTATATCTCACTTGAATATGTCCAGCCTTCCCTTTTCTGCTCCGATGTCCCAGACAGTTGGAAATCCAAACTTAGCAGAAGCGTAAACGACTGCACCAATTAATGGTGAGTACATGAGAATCATCTGGAATGCGTCTGCCCATACTACTGCCTTGATACCGCCCTAAGAAGAGAAAAGTTACACAAATATCTTAGTTAGCATTTTTGTGTGTGGATATTTCTATAGAATACTTAATTTCACCATTTTTTTTTCAGAAAGAAAAAATATGGGTGCCGGGATTTATGAAGGACCTGTTCAAGAAAGAAAAATGACCTTTGGTTTTTATATGTATAATTTTTTTAAACACTTTGTTTAATAGATAAATCTTCACTCATTGGTGCAGTATGGTCTGCAACTCCTCGAAGCCTGTGCCACCCCCATAGGAACAGTTGGGAGAAGAAAAGAATAAGCTCTCTCTCTTAAAAGGACAAATATGTTCCCCCTAAAAAAAAGGATCGTAACAAGTACTCCCTCCATCAGAGGACCCGTGTTACACCATTGCAATTTTCAAGTTGGATTTTTTTTCTGAGCAGTTTCATATATTTCTTTTAAAATTATAACCACTCAGAACAAGAATATTTGACGCACCAAGGCGGTATAGAAGGTGCATACTCCAGAGAGGACGATGACACTGACGAAGAAACTCATGTCCGACACTACAGTTAGAAGAAACAAAACAAGACAAGCTTGGTAAAGAGCGCTATTGAATTGATTAAAAATGGCTGTTCACTGGAGGTCTTTTCATGCAGCTACTATTTGGGGTGATGTGGTCCAATGGTTACGGTGTTCGACTCGTGTGCCATGGTACATGGGTTTGAATCCTGACCGTGGGAACATGGTGCGTGTGCTCTTGAGCAAGGCACTTTACCATTGTTGCTTCGTCCTTCGGATGGGACGTTAAGCCGTAGGTCCCATGTGTTGCGCAATGCATCCCAGTATAACACTTATCGATAAGAGCAGGGGTTTGCCCCGGTGTTTCTGGCAGTGGCTGCTTAATGCACCGCAGCACCTTGTAAACCCTTATAAAGGTGTTTCATAATGGTTGTCATATTTCTCATGTACTTCATTTACCTGTCTCTAATAATAGACATAATTCCAGCACCTTGAGTACCTAATTGTTGGTAGATGCTTATTATTATTACACAGAATGGGCCGAATGGCGTTACGGGGTAATACTATACGTTAGCACTGCCCGACTCTGTAGTGACAGTGGGTCAGTCAGTGACGAGAAAATAAGTAATCAAACTCTCCAAATCCAACCCTTTTTCCTTTTATAACGCACCTGTTGTGAGAACAAGACAAGCAGCAAACGTTGCTATTCCAGCGTGCAGAATCTGCGTGGGAAAAATATTAACTTGCACAATTAAATCTTCAAATTGTGATGAGCGTTTTAATGATATACGCATCAATTCAACACATAATTGTTGAACAGCTTACACTATCAGCATTAACTGGTAAAACAAGGGAAATCCCTCAGATACTGAAACTGTTTAATTATTCTTTGGTAAACGCAAAGGATAATGGGTTTTGAAATCATTATTCGAAACTCACCATGAATAAGTACCCGATGAAAAGACAGCAGTTACGGACGATTTTGTTGAAACGCATTTCCAGATACTGAAAATATATAAACACAAGAATTCTAAGTCACTTAAATTTTCAATCCGTGAATTTTTTTTTGCTGTTTTGAAATGGAGGTGTTTTCCAAAAAGTTTCATCTTAATTTGAACAGCCTCTGGAATTGGTAAATCTTTCCTTATTGTGAATCAAACTCAAAGCGTTGTGGGTGATTTACCGCCACGATCCACGTAAGTACCGTGCATTATGTGCACACTCATTGATAGTGCGCATTACCATGGGACGCTACATATTAGGGGCCATTCAGAATTTTCAATGTTTTAAAATTTCGACTTTTTTTCCAAATTGACCCACCCACCCACCCCTAATTTCGATTAATAAAAAACTGATTTGTTACGAAACTGATTTGTTACGAAGTATTAAAAAACAAAACATGTACATGTACATGCACTTGCATATGTACATCATTACATCTCACTGGCGGGCCTGTGCGGGTTGCGTGTCCTTTCGGAAAAAAAAAATCCATTGCTGCTGAGTGCTGGGCGGAGGCAAAAGATGTCTCTTTGCAACTTTTCGACAACAAATATGACGCACAAACAAACAGTTCGTACGAGGAACATGGGTTCTTCATTATCAGCTTTTGCTGTTTCCTCCTCATGCCACAGTGGGTCTATATACACGTACATGACGTACAACAGTTGACGAAGTTGGAAAAGAAACACGTAAATATTGAAATGCTGGCGCATAGTTCAGGCAAGTCAAGATCTATTTTTTTTTTGGCTCATTTTTTCCATGAAAAGTGAATTTCGATTTTCAATTATTTAGCTTGACCCACCCACCCACAATTTGGAAAAATAGTCGAAATTTTAAAACATTGAAAATTCTGAATGGCCCCTAAAAAAAAGAAAAAAGCAGGACAAGGTTGGATTAAAGGGAATATATAACATTTGCAAACATCAAAAAACGAAATGATCAAATTATCACGAAATATCTTACTGGATTATTACGAGTTAATGAGTCCAAAGCATCCTAAATCTGTGGCTCTTGGTGTGCCGACAATTTCAAAAAACTTTTTTTTTTCCAACGCTGGTTGGCCGACCAGCGTTGGAATCAGCAACCATCATCACCCTTTTGTACTCCTGGAAAATCCGACTCACCTGATAGACGCTCCTTAATCGTAGTTTGTAGAAAGTGGGCAGGAAGATTTTACCAGAAATGTAGCCATCAACGAGGATAGGAATGATTGCACCAAAGGGTGCCATGGCGCCTCGGAAGTAAACCTCAGATACCATTCCCTGGATGTAAATACCAGTGAAGAGACTGGCAAGAAGGGACAGAGCCACGGGGAAGAAACCCATCTATAAGAAAATTGTTTCCAACAGTCATGTTATAAAATCATCTTATAATCTAGAATTCATAAATACCTTGATCTCAAACGGTTAAAACCGGCCATAACACTTTATTCCCTTATATAACTAAGTTCAGTCGAATTTCTTTTTTTAATTGAAAATAAGATACTAAAGAACCCACATATAATTGTATTTTGTGGGGGTTAAGTTTGACGGAGTTATTACCCAAAAGTACCCATCCACCAAACCACACACCCCTGCTAAATCCCCACGACCTTCAGGAACAAACAACGTTTATGGACTGATGAAAATCTTTGATGGGAATTGAACACATGACTTGTTGGAATATGTTTAAACTAGACTAGTTCCACAAAAAGTCTATAGCCTATAATATTTTCAGATCGCGATAGCTTTAAGTGTCAATTTAAAACATATCAGTGGCTTTTTTTTAGCCAACAACAGCCCTTTGACAAAACCTTTATGATCACAATTAAATTATTGATATAAGATGAGACTCGAACCGAGAACAAACCGATTGCGAGTCAGGATATCTACCATCCAACCTACTCTATAAACCCACCTATCTCTAGGCCTATCAAAGAACAATGCAGGTGGGATGTGAACTCCTATTTAAAATGAGACTCGAACCAAGAACCAACCGATTGCGAGTCAGGATATCTACCATCCAACCTACTCTATAAACCCACCTATCTCTAGGCCTATCAAAGAACAATGCAGGTGGGATGTGAACTCCTATTTAAAATGAGACTCGAACCAAGAACCAACCGATTGCGAAGAAGGGAATCTACCATCCAACCTACTCTAAACCCATTTATCTCTAGGTCTATCAAAGAGCAATGCAGGTGGGATGTGAACTCCTATTTAAAATGAGACTCGAACCAAGAACCAACTTCCGATTGCGAGTTAGGGGTATCTACCGTCCAACCTACTCTAAACCCACCTATCTCTAGGTCTATCAAAGACCAATGCAGGTGGCCTGAAGTGAGATGTGATCTCCTATTAAACAGCTTGTAAGGGTACGTTGTTGACGTAATTAACACGCTTAATTGAGGTCCTTTTGAACTAATATCAACAGTGAGAAGATTCGAAATCCGCTTATTTTAAGTGCTGGTAAAAACCACCCAACCTACTCAAAACTCGTCCATCTTTAAAGCTTTATTAGGCCTATTAAAAATGTGTTTCTGCAGGTGGATTCAAACCCACGTCCACCTGCTTATGAGTGCTACTTGATGTCTCACCTGTCGACTGGCGACCATGAACTCATTGGTCGTTCTCTTGCGTCTGCCTCGGATAGCGTAGAAGATCCCAATCACTGCAGACACGGCCAGGACAACTCCAAGGACAACATAGTCGGCCCAGCTGAACTTGGGTTGGCTGGGTGAATCCATGGTTTTGGCAACTTCCTGCCCGAGTTTTAGTTGGGTTATTTTATTGGCGGATTTGGTTGAATTGCTGACGAGACTGAGATAGATTCAGTTCACACTTGGAGAGTGGCACAGAGGTTTGTTACTTATTAGCGGTCAAACTGTCTTTTTACAACTCACAAAGTTGACTTTTGTAAAAAAAAACCACACTAATATTTACAGTTTGTTACAAGTGTAAATGCACGCAAACATTATGATGTGGGTCAGGATTGAGCATGGTGTACAATAAAGACATGGGTAGCGCTGATAGCGAGGTTTGGAGATATGAAACGCAAATATCAAAGATAATGTGTTATACTCAAGTTAATGAGCACAACTTCCAAGGTTCGTCAACAGAGCTCAAACAATGAAATTCCTGTAGTATACAATAACAAACATCGGTCTTCTAAAACAGCGCCCTCTTGCTATTTTGTTTAAATAAATGCACAGCACGCAGTAGAGGATCACTTGGGGGCGTGGCTGAGGCATTGATTGCATGGATTTTATGGGGTAGGGTGGCTTATTGTTGATGACAACTCCTACAAAGACTACAGTTACCAAAGATTTGCAGTTGCACTGTTGTATGACGTTATTTCTGGAAAGAAAGTTTGGATTTTTGCTGGACCCTGTGACAGACTGAGTCACTGACCGAGACGCTCATTATAAAAGTATGTCCTAAATTGCTATCAAACTAGGCAAGCATAGTCTTGTTTTCCCAATAAAATGTCAAACTGGTTAGTTGGAAAGGGGTTAGGTGCACAAAGCAGTGTTCACATCGTTGAGCTAAAGTAGCCCATAAAAGCTTAAATTTGCCATCGAGTTTCCAAGTCTTGTATTGGACTTTTTGACCAACTAGGAATAAATCATGCAGAGGATAAAACCTGTTTGAATGGCATCTTACTGCACAATTAAGTGATTGGATATACAGAACAAAGAATTGTTACAATCATACAGATGTCACAGTTCAATCTTTTATTTGACCTTCTTGCATTTTATAAACACAATCCTGATACTGTGATGACCTTTGGACTAATCCAGCGGCCTCGTTCACGAGATAAGCCAGAATCAGCGGTTCCCCGAATTGAGCTGGTCCCAGGGAGCCGGCCCAGTGTCCTCTGTGTACGTCACCGACTACCTGACGGACTGACTGACTGCACAGATTATCAGTTTTGACTTAGACTGGTTGTGGGCTGGTGAAGAGATACGGGCAGTGCTGTTGTATAGGATTACCCCGTATTTCCAATGGATGGGCTAAATCCAGCCCATTTTGTAGACCAGATGGATGAAACAACTTCCAGTGAAAAGCCACTCTGAATCATGGGTGGCATGTAAAGTGTTGCCTCTCACCATTGTGGCCCGGGTTCGTTTCCTGGCTCGGACCATATGTGAGTAGAGTTGCTCGTTGATTCTCTCCTGTGCCATGAGGTTTTTCTCCGGGCTCTCCACTTTTCCTCCCTCTGTAAAAATCAACGCTTTTGATCTCTGCCTGTGCTCCGTGGTTATACATGGGTTGTATGGCGGCTGCCTTAGGCGCCTTGAAATGCCTTCAGCTCGACCACGTTGAAGCCACGTCCTTCGCAAGTCAGCTTCTCAGCTGCGAGTAAGGATGATTAGCCCCCCTCCCCACTCAAATTATAATTAATTGAATAGAATTGTGTCAGCTTGACCTAGTCTGGTCTGGGTAGACTTAACTAGCACGGCCTAGCCTTGTTTCAGGCAGCAGGCATGGGCAATGTCATCAACTCTCTCCCTCTTCACAACCTCCTACTGACTGTCCAGCACTGACTAAATGTCCAAGTTGGTTCTTATGATAGCACCACACTGTGTCCACTCCTTCATCTATGGATTCTACGGGCGTCCAATCAGGGAAGGGAAAACGACAAGCTACGACTACACCATTCTCAGGGAGTTCTTCACTCAATTTGTCTTGTAGCTTTGGCATCTAGATGAAAAAAAAAAGAATATTCATGTCAGAAATATAAATAAGTAAAGTTATTAACTAGCTACTGGGGGGTGTGGCGTGGCAGATTACAACGGGATGGAGATTTTAAAAGCAAAGTCGAGGTGGTGATAGAAGGAAATTCGGGATGGCGATAGAAGCAAATCCGGACGGTGGAAATTGGTAACAGGGCAAAAAGTCCATTTTGCAAATCATTTATGTTTTACTGATTGCCTTTTTCACGAGTGCCCTTGTTATGTCCCGCGAATGTCAAGCCGTGGAGATGAGCGCCTCCATCAAAAGAAAGTGTTCACCCCACTTTTTAATTTTACGGAGGCCGGGTGTTCAGTGAAAAAAACCCGTCTACCTTTCAGCATGGATTCTGAGTCCCTTTTCTCGCCACTGCAATGGGCAAACAAAACCCTGGTTGTACGCCCACTCCCTCATAGTATAAAGAATGTGCCATTCTGTTCTATCACAATGGGAGGATTTACAAAGGCTCCTGGCAGACGAATGCTCAGGAACGGACTGTTTCGTGGACACTGCCAGCGGCATTACATTTAGAATACTTCCCATCATGTCACTGTATCCTGATCATGATGGGACGTATTTTATACGAAATACCCCCTGATAGGTCCCTCTCAAATGACAGCACTGCCTACAGATTGTCACGGGCATCGGCATTTTCGTGCCGGGCATCAGCTGTACCACGCCGTATTTTGAAGAAAGTTTGAGCAACATGCATGAGTTTACAGCATTTTGCACACTGCGCGCACACAAACGTGTGTTCACCGTCGATCGTGGACGTCCTATTGTCCCTTTTTTGTTTGTTTTTAGGAAGACTCCCATAGGTTTTGTACACGACCCCAATCGCGTACATATGCTGGGAATCGTGGACGATATTGTTCTCTTTTGTTCTCTGGAATTTTTCGTCCACGGTTTGAAAACACATACACACTTAACTGATGGCGTTGAATACGCAGTTGCAATTTTCCTACAAAGATGGCGTCGTATGAGAGGGTTCTATAGGTATCTCTCAAATGACGTCATTTCCCACAGACCAGCCACGCGCATCGGCCTTATGAGCGTCAACTTGCATAACGCACCGGCTTCGTCAGATTTCAAACACATTTCGAGCAACAAGCACGCGTGTTTGGAACATTTTCAACTCTGCGCAATGCGTGCTTGATTGCGTAAAATACGCAGTTGCAGTTGTCCTACAGAGATGGCCGTCTTTCGGAGACCCATATTACCATGTGACCACAAAGATGGCAGTATCTGTGAAATGGTCTATTGGAATGACTCTAACAGTATAATCTACTGACAATCTTACCATTGAGGGTACACCAAACACAACTGTGCTGTCGTACCGAGACAGATCCACCTTCCACAAATCTCTCCTGTAGAATTCCGCCCTGTATTGTAATCCTTGTAGCCTGGCAGTCAGTCTTGAGTACCAGACTAACCATGGGTTCAGTTCATAACCGGTAGCCTGGAAACCATACTTGGCTGCCTCTATAACCTGAGATATTCATAGGAAACAAGCTATAATCAATAGAACGCAATTAAATCTGGTACAATTACTCTTTTCGCATAAGCACTTCTTAAGTAGTGACAAAATGAGAATAGTTTGATATTTTTAAACGAAAATCTCAATTTCTTGACCCCATTGTACATGAATCCTTTAAAGCAGGTTTCCACTGATATATTTGTTGCAGAATGATTGACTTTTTTTTCTGAGCTGTAGATTGGGATGATTCATTGTTAAACAACGAATCATCCCAATCTACAATTCAGAAAAAGGTCAATCATTCAGGTTTGCAGGAGCTTCTGATGTTAAAGGTAGCGTAGATCATTTCTCATTATTGCATGTGTTTCGTTTGAAGCAACAAAAGTGCTCAAAAACTAAAGACAGGTGCTTAACAACTAACCTGATGCAATTTGTGCTCTGTGAATGCTTTATATTCCAAGAAAATACTATTCTAAGATCTCAATTTCAATTCAAAACTTGCAGAGTCATGTTTTGAAATCAGCATCCGGAACACATTCTCATTCAGCCGCTTGCAGCTACAAGATGTCACGCACTGAACTGACGAATAATAGCAACCGCGCACTCATCGTGTCAATGCTTGTGCCAGCTGTGCACACATTTGCCCCATTACCAACCAACTACTAACTGAAATTTCCAAAAATGTGTCACTTGACTCATCTTTGGAAATTTATGGCCTTCCTTTGTTTTCTTCAAAATGACAGCATGCCAGCAGAAATAATTTCACAGGTACGTGTAACTTTGACAAAGTACTCACAATCCTGCCATCACCACTGCCGAGATCAACCAAGGTCCCACTCGTCTTCCCCGCAGAGTGTAACATCTTGAAGACATTGTCCACCTGTCTTGCTGTGGCTGGCACGTACGGTAGGGGGATCTTGCGGAACGCTGGTAAAACGAACGGCGTTGCTACGGCATAAAGTCCACCGATCACAGCTCCTGATATACCGAGGATGATTAGGCCACCTTTCAGTCGACGCTTTGAAGGCGGCTTAATGTTTACATCAACATGAAAAGTGAGAGTGGAAGACATTTAAACATCACTAAACTGAGGCTTTACTCTATAATTTTGTACATTTCTATGTTAGTCTGATCTACATATATTTCTCAGAGAAAAAAATATTAGGTCTTGCCTCCCCCCAAATGGGATATTAAAACGTGGCAATTTTTTATCAGCTTTAATATGAAGATATGGAAAAAGTAATGAACTTATGCTAAGCAACTGTGGCTTAATCCCATTCGTTTTAGTGAAATTGAACACAATATTTGACATTCAATGAATGAATGAATCCACAATTGTTCAACAAAATGAAATAAATGAAAATTATTGATTCTCAGTCCAATGTGATTGACCGAAACAAATCTGCAATAGCTTAAGGTTATTATAGGGTCTAAGCCTAAACGTTTTCAGCAAGTGGCTGCACGAATCAGTAGGTTTTGTTGAAATTGGCATTCAAGATTATGCAATTTTTTTGTTAGCACGATAGCAAAAATCCAGGAAAAAATGTTGTCCCCTGACGCCACTTCTTTTATCATATATCATCTCAATAGAGGTCAGTTATTGCAAAAATGTTGAAAAGACATGAATCTGGAACTGTGAAACATTTCCAAGTTTGTTAGAAAATACCTGAAATTCCTCTTGACTTTCCACAGACTTTGAACACAAGTTAACGAAGCGGCGTCTGGATACTTCATTCTTTCTGAACTGAATCTAGTTTGTTTCCCTGAATGATTTTATTTATTTATTTATTTATTTATTTTATTGATTTATTTCATTTTCCGGGATATTACAAACAGTGAACTACAGACAAAACAATGATTCCCCTGAAAATAAATTCCACAAACACCATGACAAATAATGGCCTTGTTATAAATGCATTCTTAATGTGAAAGGTAGAAAGGAGAAACCTGTAAATCATGCTTTTGGTCTTTACAATAGCAGTGCCTAAGCCTATGGCTTATGATACAATAGTACAATGCTATACACTAGTCCTAAACGCTATAGGCCTATAGCAAGAAATGAATGCAAACCTTATTCATCATCGTGCATGCTGGCAATCAATGGTCGGCCGACATCAATCTACCAAAGACGAGAGGGAAAATGACAATGCCGACTTTCCGGAAATCCACAATAGTTGCGATCGAAACCGACATTGATCAAGTCATGAACAATGTGAAAAGCGTAGCCTCAGGCAATTATATAAGACTGTTTTCCCACAGTAGCGGAGCATTCTTTCCGCAAGTTATGGGCGCCGCCATTTGTAATTTCCTGGTCATTTCGAAACCACCCGGGGGCGCTATTGTATTTTTGGCACCGCATGTTTTATGAGTGAATAACAAATTGTCATCAGTCCCAATTTTTTTTTTTAAATGAACTAACTGAATTCACAGGTGAAAGGGCAAAGCATGCGCCGACAGAACAGACAATTACAAGAAAAAAGGAACTAACTTTAAACATTCATCAATAAACTTTAAAATAATTAGAGCTATAGTCGTGTTATGAGTTTGCCCAGTCTGCGCGGCGATATAAGTTATTCCAATAGTTTTGATACTCGAACATGGCAAACATCTCCAGCACCTCTAAATATTCAAGCATGATGACATTTGAGAAAGCTATTCAGACAATGTTTTAATGATACCGAAATACATTATTGTCATAAGCACTTTAGTTCTCCGTGTGACACTCTTTGGGGGCGGGACCGTGGTAATTTACTTTAGGAAGATTTATACTTATAGTAGCCCCCCCCCCCTATAGATGTATGTATTTCTGTAACACTGCATTCTGGATTAAGATTCCTTCATGATCTTCCCCAATAAGATGACCAGCCCACCCCACCCCCTAAAAACAATTTCTAGGCCTATTTATTAAAAATCAAATATGGTGCCGAGTTGGTCACAGTTTGCCTCAAAATTGTAGCCTCAAAATTTCTTTTCTATTTTACTTTAAAATCTCAAATCGAAACAAATTTAGCATACGCGGTACACAAACGTCGTACTTTGTACCAAAAACCACCTTCAATATTCCAATTTGCTAACATTCATCAATTTAACTATTCCAATTTGTTTTTAATAATTAAGAATGATGAAATCAACCATCATTAACACACCTCACACAATGCAAGTGCAAAAAGAAACAGATTATCTTCTTCGGTGAGCAAAAAACAAACAAACATAATTAGGCCTACCAAGACTTCTATAATTAGGAATTCTAAGAAATTTTAAACTTGATTTATCCTTTAACGCATGACCCTAGTGAACCATCCAGTGGGGGTAATGTCTGTCTCGAAATGACGTCATTGGGTAATTATATTAGTTTCACTATTTCCTGTCTGTAGCCCCCATTTCGAACCGGTGCCAAACCACCCAAGTCTGCGCATAAACTTGGCATTTGTTTACACCCGATATCTCAAGTAACAGCCACATAGCTCGAAAGACAGACATTCTGTTCAAAGGTCAGTCCTGTAGATTGTTTTAGAATGAGGAAATGGGTACTTATATTTCACTTCTAAAAAGTCTCTGAATACATTTTTCGTCAAAGTGTGACGTGAAGTATTCCTGGAAATTTCGTCTATGCAAGTATCGATCACGCGCACCCCTCCCTCCTAAAAACAAATGGCAAGGTCACAGTCAATAAGACATGTATCACCTTTCATTCAGGGCGGAACTGCTATTTTAAAGATTCGACGAATTCCTCCAAAGTCCAATTCATGATGAAATATAAACATAAATAAATGGGGTATACTTTTGTTCACCTATTGTAACCCTATACAGTATGGTGTTTCTTATCGGCCGTAAAAGAACCTCGAGGGGCAAGGCTCTAAAACCGCAACGGGGATTTAAACGGCCAACTTGGAACACCATAGTTTACTGCAACACCGTTCCTATCTCACCGACCGGTACCGCACGTCACCGGGCAGCACGTCATCAAAGTTTAAAAGTGTGCTCGATCTTTGGGGAGTAGAAAGCAACAGTTATCCAAGGCCGACGTGTGTGTAACTTTCCTTTCAAATTCCGGGTGTACTTTTACAGTATAACTCACCCGCGGCACTTGTTGCGCAGGATGATTATTTAGCGGCTAGGCATTGAACATTTCCGCCACAGTTTTCTTTGACTCTGCCGCGAACACAGGTGCTTTGCACTTCACCCAGACGCTGTTGTTAGTGCTACTCTAAAAAAAGGTGAGTTTTTTTAGAGACGTTTTTGATTGTGTAGGGAAATGTATTTTGCCTTTCAATCCTTGCTTAATATGACTGGCTTACAAATATGTATCGAGAACAACTTTATAGTATTTCAGTGTTGCACCTGCTGTTTTTAATACAACAGGTGAACTTTTTTTCACAGGTTTTGTGCCGACTGCCGAATTATCCATATTTATGAAGTTTAAAATGTCTACTGTGCATGGTGAATCTAGTATCTTGGTCTAACGTTCCTTAATACTACACCTATATTATAATCTCATTCACATTTACTATAGAATTTTATGAAATATGGCAATAAGATATCACTCAATTCTATAATCTCAAAAGTTCGCGTGACTAAAACGTGAACGAAACTAGGTTATCAAATCGGATTATAGACTAACCTATTGTTAACTGCAAATATCTTTTCAAGCTGAACAAGCTACCTGTCTGTCTCAAATGGCCACATACCAAAACTCGTTGTTCGATGATTTAAAGGGCCCACGACATAAATTTGAGTTGGGAACACATTTTGTGCAACTCTCTACTCCTCTTAAATGTATGAAAACTATTTGACATCCCTTTTTGGTTTAATCTCATCAAAAAGTGCACCTCTTTAAACTTTGAAAAGTTTCCATGCTTTTCCAAAATATCAAAAATACAGCAAAATATTGAAATTTCTGGCAAACTTTGGTGTTGAAATAGCTGTAACATGGAGGTTTCTGCCTGAAATTACGTCGCAATTTTCTCATGAATATGCAAATTTGCAGTAGTATAAAAACCAAAAAGGCACCAACATGCCCTTAAAACTGGCAACATGAAAATTGAAATTTAGGTTAAATGGGATACAAAGGTGCATTTACAAGGACTGTAAAACAATTACAATACATGGGTCCTTTAAAATGTTTGTACATTCGAACATGGAGCTGGGTCCTTTAGCTCTATGATTCGAAGAAATTAGTCCTACATTGATTAATGTGTTCTTTTCACCTGTTCATAGGGAATAATAGAAAGTCTGAAATCATGGACGAGTCACCGCCGACATTTCACTGGGCCGACTACCTGATCTTCACGTGTATGCTGGCCACGTCGGCGGCCATCGGGGTCTTCTACGCGGTGAGGAGCCGGCGGGAGGGCTCGTCTAGTAGAGAATACATGCTGGCGGACCGAGAGGTGGGTTTGCCTTTATGGTATGGGTGTATGGTAGAGGATGCAAATTGGATCAGGCAGGTGCATGGGTATGTGTTGATTCAATGGGTGGTTCAAACAGTGCAAGTTGATGAAATTGAAACCCTCCTGCTGTCTAAACAGTCACAAACATTCACAAAATTCAATCCATTTCCCCTGCCACGCAGGCTAGTCACCAACAAATATAGTCAAATTCAGTCAACAGACAAAAACAGCCAAGATAGGCACATCTGGCTTATCAATCACCTACAGTCAACCATAGTTGCATTAAATTACATAAACAGTCACAGCCAGTCAATCCTGCCTTATGTAGGCAGGGAGCTCTAAACTGTTGGAAACAGTCACTTGATTGATTTTTTTTTAGCAAGGACAACTTGGCACAGAATGTATGTTTGCATAGGAGAGTTTAAGGTAAAGGGCGATAAGTCTCAACCTCTGCATTTTAGACTTGCTTAAGTCAATTTACTTAATGATTATTTTTCAGGGATGTATATTTCTTGTTTTTGCAACCGTTAGTGATAAAAGGCTGTCTAGAATTTGAGATATTTTATAATTACAATTATGGATTCATTCCTAGGGCCTAAGCCTGCATTAATTTGAAGACAAAATGTTAAGAAAGAGATATCTTGTTTCTTCTTACCCTTTTAAATAATTATGAGTCATGCGTGGTCTTACCGTTACACCATGTGGACAGCAGAGTGAGATGGGAACATAGTTTCCAATATTTTAAAGACGATTTCAAACACAACTTATTTCGTCATAATTGCTCTGTTGTGTTGCCAATCACATATAAATTGTACACACCGCAGCACATTTTTTCGTTTGCACCCATTACGGGCATTACATGTATTATGTACACAATGAATGACGGGTTCTGAGATATCATTCACATGGTGTTACCGCAAACTTGAACCTCCCATTCATTGATCACGACCACCATGCAACCCTTACGTCTCAATATACACACAGTCACAAACTGTGTATTTACACTAGACCACAATGTGCACAACATTTAAAGCTCCTAAAAACACAATTTGGAGGTTAAAATAACATGCATGACGTCCACGGAACGCGTAATTTTTATTCCTAGGAGGGTTAGGGGCAATGTCATGAATAATTCATGTTTATCCATGAGAACGGACAATGACATCAACAGCATTGTTGATAGTTACCCAACTAGTTACAATACATTAAAGCATTTTAAAGAACGGTTGTCGTCGAGCTACCACACAGTAGCCTAGTGGATAGCGAGATGAGCTAAGGATACAAAGATCCCTGGTTCGAATCCACGTCGTCGCTGCTCATTTTCATCAGCTATTTTTCTTCTCCAAATTTATCACTGAGATAATTTTAAATTAAGGGGAAAATAGAACGAGAGCCTAAGTCTTGCAATGATTCAAAGGAAAAACTGAATTATTCATGACATTGCCCCTAACCCTCCTAGGAAAAAAAAATTACGCCCACGGAACATTGTCTCTCAAAATGGCCGCCAGTCAGTTATGCTGTCTTGGCAGAGTGTAAGATGGCTGCCTAGTCCAGGTATGGACTTGTAGGGGTCTATGCATTTTTTCTTCACAATTGCTGATTGAGAACTCTTGGGGAAAAAGTTTCTGCTCCATTTATTTTGCATTGTCCCTGGCCCAGTACAAAAGGAACTTGGAATGATTTCATCCGGAAACGGGCATCAGCCCACTCACAGCCCACCTGCCCACCTCTGACCAGTCGGAAGGCTGGCGGCGTACTCAGTTTGTCCGCGTGATAACTTTGCAGTCATGTTATCACGCATGCGCACAATATGATTCTGTATACCGAACTTTCACTTTTCTCATGTAATTTATTCCCGAGTCAACCTCATCACGGAGATAATATGAGCATGCTTGGCTTGCAAACGGCACCTGTCGTGCCGCGGTTATAGGGACCTATACGTACAAACAATAGCTGACATTGTTGACTTGACTTTTTGGAGGAAATTCCTCTTCGGAAACGGTGGAATTGTTCGCTTTTTTTCTAAACACCTTGAAACAATGACTGATGCGATGCGGTTGGCAGGTAGATTTCACTTTGACAAGGATCTGTTATTTCAATTGACATCATTTTGTTTGTTTGTTTCAGATAATAGTTCATTTGTTTCCTTCTATATCTGGGACAGTACACAGGTTGCGGTGTAAGTTTTAGGATTACCAAAAAAATCCCATCTGTAAAATCCAGAAACTAGACCAGGAAAAGATTGATGAAAAGAGGCTCCATAAAGGATCTAAATCTCCCCCAGAAATTACCTATCTATAAACAAAACTCTTTCAATTAAAAAAAAACCACACCGCTGCCTTGTCTTGATTTAAAACAATGTACGTCAAGAATTCGATCATGACAATAAAAGTAGAAAATCCCTAGATCAGTCAAATTATTCTTCACATACTGTGAAAACTTCGACTGCAGCAAACTATTCAATTAAAAGTTACACGTGGGACTGAGAGCATGCGAAATTGTCACAGCTTTTTGACACAAGCTGGCGAAGAATCACACAATGACTATCGGTTTCAGATTATTATCCGTATTATTTCATTCTGGTCATGAAACTAAGGATTCCTCAAAAGCGCCCTAGGCATGTAGCTCACAAGCCCGAAGAAACCTGTAGTGAGGAGACCATGAGCAGAAATTACAGTTTTAGAGGTGGGAGGAAAACCCCAGAAGAATATTCTGAGGGAAACCCACGGAATCAGGTAGGGATTTGAACCCGGGTCACAGCGGTGAAAGACGAGGAAAGTACCGCTACGCCAACCTGACTCCCCTGATGATGATGACCAACTGCCATGAACAACAAAAATAATTTATTTTAACTTTTGTTTTCGAAGAGAACTGAGTCCCAGAATGACTCTATAGTCAATTATCTTCCTCCTCTTTCTATGTCTTGCTTCAGATGAGCTTCTTCCCCGTTGCCATGTCTCTTCTAGCCAGTCTCTTCACGGGCGTCTACATCCAGGGGAGTGTGGCTGAGACCTACTACCGAGGAGCCATCCTACTGCTTGGCTCCATCATCCCACTGGTTCTAGCTGGGGTTATCTCTGGCAGAGTCTTCATGCCCAAATTCTACGAGATGAGACTGACAAGTGTCTATCAGGTATAAAACATATATCCAAAATAGCCATTTTAACCATCTTCAGCTCTAGGAAGGAACTATCTTCTTCACAACTGTCCATATAAGCACGTGCTTTTTTGCCCCGCCATGTTTTTTTACTGAAGAATGCTTAGTTTCACATTTTATAAAATTTTGTAACCGTTTTGTTTATGTTTTTGCTCTTGTACAGTTATGAATGTATTGTAATTTCAGCCTTGTATTGTTCTACTTATACAGACAATAACCTAGACTTGAATGCTCCAAACTTTATTTTAATAAAGTTTGATAGTACAATATGATACAATACAATAAAGACATTGTGATAACCTGGTTTCAATAGCTCCTCACAAAAATAAAGGAATAATAAACGAACAATAGAAAAATTATATCTCAAACAAGTCTCTTAACAGGTTATACACAGCACCTTTTTGTTGTTTTTTGTCAATGCTGATCAGTTTTCTATTTTCAAAAGGCAGACTGATGAGAGAAATAAAGTATAAATCATAGTTCAAACATTGTGGAGGTTTGCTCAGCTGCAGATTTCCAGAAAGCTTAAAACAAGGAAGTCACCAGTCCCCTACCCTATGACCACACCCAAAGGAAATGGGGTACACCCCACCCCTAAATGGCTAATACATGTTATTATAAGAGTGCGAATCAACTGTTCTAATGTAAATGTATAACAGTCAATGAGTAAAACATGTGAGTGAAACTCCCTAAAAACTGATCAAAAAAAGGAGCCCAATCATAAAATTCTTCTATAATGGATTACCACAATTTCTTTCCTTTTTTTTCAACACAATTCTCTTACAGTATCTGGATTTGCGTTTCAATGTGGCTGTGAGAAACTGCTGTTTACTGTTTGGATATCTCTACATGGTAAGTGTATTAAAACATTTTGGAAATTTTAGTCAATGCCTGAACAAAAATCTGTAGAGTTGCACGCTCAGAAGATGAACAGTTTATTCACAAAGTTAATGAGGTGTGTTTTAAAATATTTATTTTCCCACTATTTCAGATCTTACACTCGGGTGTCGCTACATACGCTGCATGCGTTGTGCTGACTACAGGTAAGCGACTTGAGAAAATGTTAGATTGTAAAGGAAAAAAAAACCATCAAAACCAAAGCATTGTCTGTGCCTGTTAAAAATCACACCTCCCCAACGTATCAAACAATTCCTATCATTTTATGTTTTTTTCGTTTCAGTAACTAGTGGAAAGTTGAGCGTGGTTTTGAGCGCGGTAATTCTCTCTGCTGTTTGTACCTTCTACACCGTCATCGTAAGTTGGAAATTATTTTTAAAAAAATACTCAAATGAAAATTATATAAATAGTTGTTATTATTATTATTATTGTTCATGGTTTATTTTTTCATTACAAATTACACACGGCAGCCAGAAGGCTGAACTACGGTGATTTTATATAAAACAGAGACATAAAATCATCCTAGATATTAAAGTTAAAACAAAGTTAAGTCTTTAAAGCCAAAGGCATGTCGTGATTTTCAATCTTTGCAACATGGAATAAAAAATAATAAGTGAAACAAAAACACAACTTGAGATAAATCTTCTGCAGAATGTGAATTTGGAAGAAAGGTCATTGTGCAAGAGTTTGTGCGTGGTCATACAGGACGGAAACTGGGACGTAACTGTGACCAGGGTCCGGCAAGAGGAAATGATTAGCCTGGTCAAGAAATTCTTGCGGAGACGGAAGCATTCCGGCCACTATCTAAGGCCAATATGACCGCAAATGAACCAGATGACCACTGGAGTGAAATGACCTTTTTGACCACGACAAAAAGTTATGTCCGGCACTTTTTGAAAGATCCGTGTCTGCAGATTGTGTATCTGGAAAAACACAAGTACGAACACACAGAATTAACTGTGAAGACTTTTAATGTTGAAAACTGTGAAAGACGATGTTTACTGCTCACTTCTTATTTGTTGATGTTATTGTTGTTATTTACTTCCAGGGTGGAATCAAGGCTGTTTTATGGGCAGATTGCTTCCAGATGTTCCTGATCTTTGCATCCCTCTTAGCAGCAGTGCTCCAGGGAGCTGTCAAACTAGGGTACACCGAGATCTGGAGTTTGAATCTCGAGGGTGGTAGACTCAACCTTTTCGAGTGAGTTTAAATCGGGAATCAAGTCTTTTTTTATGCAAAGGTCGAAACGGCTGCCAGGATTTCATTGGTTTCCGAGTATCTCATCGGGGAGTGTGACCTATGGGTTTGTGACTCATGATCAGAAAGTCAGAGGTTCAAATTCATGCATCTGTTGGCCCCATGTTGTGCCCTAAGGCAAGCCACTTTACCCCTATTTGCCCCTCTCTTTCTCTCTTTCTCTCGCTCTCTCTACAGGAGTCCCATCGGGGAGTATGGTCTAGTGGGTAGGTGTTTAGACTCATTATCAGAGGGTTCAAATCCAGCTGTTGGCCCTGTAGTGTCCTTGGGCAAGCCACTTCACCCTTACTTGCCTCTCTCTCTATACAGAAGTATTAGCACATCATGGGAGTAAGGCATAGAGTTCGTGACTCACGATCAGAGGATCAGCGGTTTAAAAAGAAAATCCAGCTTTTGGAGTTATAAATTAGGTTGTGTCCTTGGGCAAGCCGCTTCACCCCTACTTGCCTCTCTCTCTCTACCCTGGAGCTAAGTTGAGGAGTAACCTGCGATGGCCTGACATCCCATCCGGGGGGGGGGGGGATAGAAATCTTCTCAGTCGTTTCATGCCAAGGAAACAGGACAAAATGCCGGCCTAAATGGGCCATTTTGGCTCATGACACACTTTTCTCCAACTCTCACTCCATAATTTGACCGATTGACCTGCATAGTGAACCTTGCGTGCAACAACACTGACGTTTGCAGTGCCGGAATTACACAAGGATGCTCTTGACTAACCCGGTTACAAGCAGCACAAACCGGAAGACCAGTGTCAAACCGGGTAAAAAAGGCCTCTGTGTAAGCCACAACGTCACAAGACTGCTGTTTTTCTTTATGTCACACTCGTAAAAAAAAACCCAAACAAACAAAGAAATACGGGCCATCGATTTACCCAATCACAAGATATTGTGGAATATTAAAGATCGATTTTTTTTTAATCTCAGAGTATTCGTGTATCAAGTTTTTGAAATGAAATTATGTCATATGTAAAATTAACATATCGCAACTTCTTTTTCTAGATGTTTGCAAGAACGTAATACAATACTTTATTTGTGTTGAATAACTATGCGAACAAAATCATTTGTTTTAATGTATTGAGGCCTATGTCATCTGTATAGTCGATTTCTTTTTCCTGCCAGATTCGATCCCGATCCAAGGATCTACGCCTCGTTCTGGACAGTGGTGATTGGAATCTTCTTTTCGTGGCTACCATCAATGATCGTTCTGCAGTATCAGGTGCAGCGATATCTCACCTGTAGATCGCAGAAAACGGCTCACATGTAAGTGGACAGATCTAGCAAACCCTGCCACTACAGAAATCCCGAAAGTCGGGGGGGGGGGGAGACCAGTCTTAAAACATAAATCATAATGGCTGTAATTCAATGTAATTCTGCTATTCGGACGATCATACCACCCCATAAAAATATTTCCAGGAAATAAAAGACCACTTTGGGAATTTGTGAGTTTGGAACTTTTGCTTGTCCCTGAGGAACATAGCAGTGAGCATTAAATGGGTTCAGTTACAGGTAACATCCTTGAAGTCTAGATTTTAGGCGGGAACTGAGTGACACCGGGCACTAGGGACCGGCGGAGTGTACGGCGGCTGTTTTCCCCCGTACGCTTGCCTGATCTTTTGTCCCAAAACGTTACCCGTATTGGCCATGCTTCTGTGACGTCATGTCAACGGGCAAAGGACAGGCCACCCAAACATTTAAGCATCATTTGCATGTTATGTTTCTCACATTAAACAGTTTGTGTCACTTCTTTTACACCGGTCACATTTCAAGAGATACACATGCAGTACAGAAGAGAACAGTTCGCTGACAAATTGCATCACGTGATCACAATATCCAATTTGCAAACAAAATGTTACATTGTCCATAAAAAGCCTCAATCAAGAGTGTACCTGACATAGACTAAACGTTTAGCGCGGCTTTGCACTGGTCATAGCAAAATGATAGTTCAAAGCTGTTTGCATTGTTAAAATTCGAAACAAACAAATTTATTTTGAAAGGTATTTCCCTGTTTGTAATTTGATAACTTCCGCTATGTGTTACGCAGTATGATGTTTACAAATAGCGATATACGCATGGTTTCATGCTGAACCAGGTGGTATCATCACGTACCAATCCCTCAAACTTAGCGGTACTTTCCAGGGATCGGCTCGGAAACTGTTTAAGCCGAGTATTTTCCGAGACTTAGAACATATCATTCACACCAGCATTTTCTAAGAAATTTCTTGAATGCTTTAATAATAGCAGAAACACAATGATACTCATTCTACTCACAACTTTACTCTGGCCATAACCTATATCTGCTCAGAGTTTAAATGCTGGGGGGAACTGATATACCTAACTTCCTTGGACATGTATTGATTAGTGCATTTGAAATGATTTTCAAAACGAAAATGTAAATAAAAGAATATTTTTAATTTTTGTTTAGTTCGTTCGGCGTATTTCTGGGCGGAAGTGTCGCGGTCACAATTCTGGCCGCTTTAGCAGGGATGGCGATGTACGCCCTCTACGTTGACTGTGATCCATACTCCGATGGAAAACTACCCCATAAGGATGGGGTTAGTATACTTACTTTAAAATATTTGTTTTTAATATCCAAAGACGACGAGTGATAACAATCGTCAGTTATAAATTTGGCTTTCTATTCTTCAAGAAGGGCACAATAATACAACTGTTAAAAAAAATACAATGTAGGCCTATGCCATAATCAATTTCTAATGAACTTACTCAAATTTGTTCACCATAGTTTGGGGCGGTACCCTTTGTTGAATGTTTACTTTGTATAAATCGGAAGGTTTTTTTTTTTGGGGGGGGGGATAAGATGAGCACTTGGCCCAGTTTAAGATGAACTTTGTTTTTTCTTGCTCCATAGCTTCTTCCGTATTACGTCTTAGATGCATTCAAGGATGCTCCGGGCATTCCTGGTCTCTTTGTCTCCGGCCTTTGCAGTGCTGCCCTCAGGTATAAGACCTTTCAGTCCTTCCTTTTTCTTTTCGAATTCGGTAAAAACAATTAGTATTGTAGTACAGTCTTTCACAAGTCCTTTCACAATTGACAGAATGAACAATGACAAAGGAACGCTTTTTTAACAGTTCATTTGAATAGTTATAGTGACTCGACTTTCGACTTGGGATGGACTTGGGACGGACTTGGGACGGACTTGGGACGGACTTGGGACGGACTTGGGACGGACTTGGGACGGACTTGGGACGGACTTGGGACGGACTTGGGACGGACTTGGGACGGACTTGGGACGGACTTGGGACGGACTTGGGACGGACTTGGGACGGACTTGGGACGGACTTGGGACGGACTTGGGACGGACTTGGGACGGACTTGGGACGGACTTGGGACGGACTTGGGACGGACTTGGGACGGACTTGGGACGGACTTGGGACGGACTTGGGACGGACTTGGGACGGACTTGGGACGGACTTGGGACGGACTTGGGACGGACTTGGGACGGACTTGGGACGGACTTGGGACGGACTTGCGGGGACTTGTGGGGAATATCGGCAATGACAAAGCGTCCAATTCTTACGGTTCAATTTGTCACTCTTATTCGTTTCGACTTTGGATATTATTTTTCAATTTTGTTTTGAATTGTTTAACTGGTTGCATTTGCAGCACCACGTCATCCATCTTGAATTCCATAGCAACAATAACAGGAGAGCACGTCATCACTAAAATCTGGACAGACTTGCCCGATCGAAGATACTTGTTTATCACCAAGATGCTTGGTAAGTTATCTGTGATGGAAGGACTGATTTTTGATTTCATTAAAGGCCTCAAAAAAGAAGAGAAATTAAGCTCGAGATCTAAGATACTTTTTGCTTGTTTGGGAGCCTTGATATTATTTCCTGGGAGTTTACCAGTTTGAGAGTTTTCATATAAACCACAATAGGGAAACTAGAAGTTGCATTAGGCCTACATTATTTCAAACAAATTTGAACAAAGAAATTGACTGGAGCGGGGTTTGAACTTGCGATCTCCGGTTTGAAGTTCCAGTGCTCTACCGACTGAGCTATCCAGACCTTTATTGAGAGTGTTAGAAATAGGCAGTCTTAATTAATTATATTATAAATTCTTGGAGTGCGGTTACATTTTTTGTTTTGTCTCCCTGACAGATTTACTTTATGAAAACCGAAATTAAAAAAAAACCCCAAGTATCAATGTAAATACATTGATACTTATTTAACTTACAAAAAACCCGAATTTAATACAAACAAATGAATTGGCTTGTATATTTCAGGTCAATCCAGTCAGTAGGCAGTTTGCAGCAGTTTTATTCATTATCAATGTATTCAAATAACTTTTCTTTCTGTCTAGCGCTTTTCTTTGGTACTCTCAATATCGGAACCGTTCTGGTGGTTTCGAAGCTGGGGGATATCCTGCCGGTGAGCATACAATTTTTTTCTCACAGTGAAATGAAATTTGGTTTTAAAATCTGATTATTTTTGTTCATCTGAAAAAGATGTATCTTTAAAAGCCAAAGAAGTTGTGATGTGTTACATTTCAGGGAGATTACACAGGGGAAAAAAGTGAAATAGTGCCAATTGAGACAATAATGCATTTCTAAAAAAACAAACAAGAAGACGGGATGTGTTACATTTCAGGGAGACTACACAGGGAAAAAAAGTGAAATAGTGCCAATTGAGACAATAATGCATTTCTTAAAAAAAACCCAAGAAGACGGGATGTGTTACATTTCAGGGAGACTACACAGGGAAAAAAAAGTGAAATAGTGCCAATTGAGACAATAATGCATTTCTTAAAAAAAAACCAAGGAGACGGGATGTGTTACATTTCAGGGACATTGCACAGGGGAAAAAAGGGGAAAAAGATACATAAAATATACCCAATGGAGAAAATAACTTGAATAGAAAGCACCAAGATAAGAAAACCGGTATGGTGCTGAGAACCGACACCAGTGGAGAGTAACGAATGCTGGGTTGCTCTTAAGAATTTAGGCTTAGGGAAATACTACTATCATAAATATTTCAGTGAATGTGCAAGTTGAAATCGTCTTTTCTTTCAAACGGATCATTGAAACACCTTAATATTTTGACACAATTTTATTTTTTCCTTTTTGTTCTCAGGCTTTGATTGGCCTTATTGGTATCACTAACGGTCCAGTTTGTGCGGTGTTCATTCTGGGGTTCTTCTTTCGAAGGGCGAACTCAAAGGTACTGTATGGTTTTCTTACACTTTTCTTTCTCTCTTACCCTAAATACTTCAATTTTTGCATTGAAACACTGAACCGAGGTTCGAATCCCACTCAGTTCATGGACAGGTGTATTGGGGTTTCAGTCCATTTTGTGGGTTGCTTTCATTATTGGGGTTTTCATCCACCCCGACATCTGAAACAAGTTACCATCCTCTTCTCTCTCTAGGTTTTCCTTGAGGTTTCGAGCTACAGTGCTTTGACACTTCTGAAGAATACTTAGTTTCATACAAACAGAAAGTAAAACTACTTATAGGACCTTGAAATGAGCACCTATAAGATAACGTCCCATGACCCGTGATGACACCATCATGACGTCACTTGTCTAGAACCACCTTTACTATGTGGTTTATGTCTATGTTAAGTTTCATTGGTATAAAAGGAACAAGTTTCATGTCCAAAGAGGCAGTCGGAAAAGACGTGTGCAAAGTCTTTGGGATTTGGGATAGAAGACCCAGAAGAAGAAGAAGTGAAAAGCAAATCAGAACAAAATCAATGGCTTTTCCGCAACTATGCGGAAAAGCCAAAAAAAAAAACATGTGCTTGGTTAAAATATTTGATGACGACATGAGTAACAAATACAAATTTCATTTCATTTGAGATTCAGAGTTCGTTGATCATGGGCTTTTTGATTGGTCCGATGTTCGATTTGAACATGGAACAGACAACCAAATACCACAAAAAAACATATAAGTTTAAGGAGAAGCCATTTAATTTGCAAGACAAAAGAAATGACTTTAATTTAATTAACTTTTAATCTGTTTTCCCTTCCAAACTATAGGGAACCATGGTTGGGTTCGTTGTAGGGATAATATTCGGAATCTGGATCTTCATTGGGTCTATCTTCTACCAACCACCCCTTCCAAGTTTGCCATTGTCAACGGACGGATGTCCCGACGACGACACCATGACAAATGCGTCCATGGCAGTCACCACAATGGCCATGACTTTTGTCAATATGACCACAGCGGCGGTGCCAGTGGAAAGTTCAGGGTATGAAAACAAAATACGGTATCATCAAAAACTACTCAGAATGCTTAAAGTCAGCTAGTTTGTCTGATGTATTTTTCTTTAGGACGGGGATTGAGGGGTGTGTTTCAGTTAAATAATATCGACTCCTCGTTAAAGATGAGCAAAGGCACGTTCCATTATTAGGATCAAAGGCAGCTATTCCGTCATAAGGTCATGCATGTAATTCGTAATTTAACGAAGTTGGATAGGAGAAGTGACGATTATGCTGAGCCCAGAATTAAGCAAAGACAAATGATTGAAAAGGTAAATTGGGAGACGACAATAAATCAACGGTAAATAAATATGTTCCTTTTTCAATGATACTTTATTTGATTTATTTTAACTCTTATATTCTTTTCATTCGTATTTTTTTAATTATGGAATTTCAGTGGGATCGTGGAACTCTACAAGGTGTCCCGGCTCTGGTACCCAACGATAACCATAGTGACTGTCACACTAGTCGGAATTGTCGCCAGTCTGTTATTTGACGGTATGCAAAATCTGTGTTATCACATAAATAAACTGGCATTTAATAAAACACTAAGTCCAGTGGCATGACGGGGGCACGGGGAGCCCCCCCTCCCCCAGCAGAGGTCCGTACCCCCGGGTGGGCCCCCAATTTATATCGGTTGCCTTCAGGGCCCCCCTTAAAAATCTGGTGCACCCCCAGGTGCCCCCTAAAGGTTTAACCCTACTTACGCCGCTGACTAAGTCACATTGGCCATTTGTCATATCATTTACCTAAAAAAAACACCCCAATCCCACTTTGGTTTTGATTCAAAATATTGCAGGTTTCTGGAGCAACGTACATATTCATATCAGTCTAAAATTGTTACAGTTATTAGTGCTGAACCTTTTGTTCCTCTCTGTAGCATATTTCGGCAAGCCCAAAGTTGACTCGTTCTTGCTATGGGACTGGAGAACATCTTTCTGCTGCTGCGTCACTAAGCAAGCAAAGATCGAGGATGAGGTAAATAACGCCCTCAACGACAATCATGTTATTATAATAATTTTAAAATCCTATTTAAAATTACATTAGTTGTATTTTAATTACATTTTGGAAGATTTTATTCTCATGAAATTGTGAGTATCCCTTACACAGTACATTTTATATAGAAACGATTATTTGTATTTTCTTTTTATTTGAATTTCTTTCACAGAAATCGCTCTTCGGCGTCACCAGTGACGTCATGTCAGACGTCACCGTGGAAACCGGCGATCCAGCAGGAATAGTCAACACTGTATGTGAGGGATGTGATGTGTGTAAATCGCCCTCAAGAACAACCCACTTGTAAAATGACGTCTAAATGACGTGTACATGACGTCATCCGTTCATTCTCAAACAGCGCCCTCAGCTGTTTGCTGATAGTTTTAATCGCATTCTGCTGTAATTAAGCTGAATGAAATTGAACTTGAAAAACAAATAACATTGTCTCTGCAAAACAGAAATGAAAACGATCGTTTCATACTGCTAATAATTAAGGATGCGACCCCCCCCCCCAAAAAAAGTATGATTACGGCTCGAAGGTTTTGTAAATTTAACAATCCTACTTTAGAACTGTTTAATAGTCTTTTTACATATTATACCACAGGGTTTACCTTTATGTTGTAGGGGCTTTACGTACACAGTTTTAATACGAGATAAGAAGGTGCTTTATAAAAAATAATTGATTTTATAAAATTTGAAGAGTATGAATATTGTTTGTAGCCTAAACGTTTAATACTGATTACTGCCGTGATTCTTTAGTTCCTACTTCATGTACTTTTTTAGATGGTAATGTGTCTTTCGAGTGTAACAATGCAAATAGTATGTAACATAATACAATGACTTCACTGTGTCATAAGCACATGTAGATAGGTGATTTTCTTTTTAAACTGAAGAAGTTTTAACCTGAAGTGTTTCATTTTAATTTGTCTTTCGTATGTACATTGTAAATACACGGGCTTTCACTTCTGTCAAAAGCTAAACAGAGCACGCCATATACACATATTAGGAAGTTATTTAATTATTGACTGTAGTTCGTGTTTCAGGGTACAAATTTTAACTTTTTTTAACAACGAAAAAGTTCGATTTTAAGTTTAAAGTATATGTTGTACCGGGAGTATTTTTGTACAAATAGTACAGAAGTTCTTTAATTGTTGACTGTAGTTTGTGTTTCATGGTACACAATTTTACTTTTTAACCAAAAAAGTGAAATTTCAAGTTTAAATTATATTTCGTTCCTGGATTATTTTTTTTTACAAATAGTATAGGGCCTAGTGTGAATTCCTGTAGTCCAATCTAGCCATACAATCCATATTATCGTATTTTTTGTGCGTTTGTTCCGCAATGTCCAAAACTACAGAACCGTTTGATTTGGTAAAAGAAATCTCTGATTGAAGTTGGTAGATGGCCCTTAACAATGTGATGTTAGTTTATCAGTTGCACAATCAAGAATTTCAGTTGTTAATAAAAAGAGGAAATAATTTTCTTTTAATAGTATAGATTATAACATAGTAAATATACTCCTACTTATCAAAGGCATAGTTATATAGACTTATGAAGGACAATACTTTCTCATAAAGATGCATCAATCTTCCCAGACCATTTTATCAAAAGCACAAGTTGACTTTCGGTTAAGTTGAAAAAGTTACCTTTTGCGTGACGCGATTAAAACAAACGGTACTTGTTTAAAGACATATTGTGCATTTCCAATACAATTATTTTACTTTAATCTTAACACAAAATTGTCAGGAAGATGGTTGAAAAATTACGTTTCTTGAAATGTTGACACCCACTGGTATCCAAGCTAAATATTTTATTTCTCGAATCAACACGGATAAACTTATTTCACTGAGCACAAACTTCTCTTCCGATTTTGGAAACTTCCCACTTTCCCTCTTCAGTCGTTATGTTCATATCATGCTTAGGGAATATCTGACAATGAATATATTCAAAACTACAAAAAAACTTCTTTAATAAATATACGTTTTAAGATAAAATATCAAAAGATAATCGTCGATAAAGAAATGATTATAAACGGCCTCCCATCTCCCCTCACAGCCGTCCTTTCCACACCATGATAAGAAACATTTGGTCTATCAGTCAAATCCAATGTTTGTTGCTATTTTCAATTTCAATAAAGTCGATATTTCAGATTTAAAACGGCACCTATCTCCAAAAGCCGTTTGATTTACAACGTTAAAGCATTTGAGATGGTCTTGCAATATAATAGCTACATTAATATTTCTTGAATACAAAACGGCCTCCCATCTCCCCATAAAGCCGTCCATTCCACACCATTTTCGACAAATGTGAGTTTTTGAAAAGGGGGGTGTAAAAAAAACTCTAGGCCTAACTAACTTTGACGCTTTTGGTATAGGCCTAACAGCTACACTATGCCTGGCTGTCAGTGTTAGCTCTTTAAATAAAAATCCTAATCTAAAATATATATCAACGGTTTTTCCATAACAAAAAAATCCCAAATAAGCTCACCTTTGTAACAAACGAGATAAGGATTTATACAAAGTGATTTCTTAATCCGCATCGTCCTTCACTTAGCGTTTATCAAGCGTGCCGCAAATATTTCTACTTTACTGTTTTTGTTTTGCACTAAAAACCAATATAGTCAATCATCTCTTACAAATCGAAGTTAAAAAAAATTTGAGAGATATATTTGAGAGATAAATAATGTTAGAAGTAACAATCACATCAGCCCGAGTTTAGATCATACATGAAGCTTGTCTGCTTTGGTTAAATCAAACGATTTGATTAATTACAGATTAATTGATTTCTGCTATGGTTTCTTAAACTTTTTACCATACTTCCAAAACATCGATCTTTTCATTTGTATTGATCACCAGCGGATAATCAATAACCCATTTCCTTTCATCGAAAGCCAATCATTAATACTTTAGCTTTACTGATAAATGATGCAACTGCATGTATTTGATAGTTTTCACATTCGAAGTATGATGACAATCTTCAATAAACCACGTCACTATTTCTATCACCAATCATCGGTACGTATTGACCGGACACACCTTCTGTTAATCGCAAATGCCCGCATAGTGATTATATGTAATAACTTGTCTTTCTACGCAACATCGCTCAGCTACAGGGAGGCAGGATGCCTGTGGTCATATTTCGTCAAAGTCGATCATTTAATTTTATAGTAGTATATTATTTTCAATCATGTGGGAGTAGGTCAAATCGTCAATGTGCGTCAATTTAGACTTTCAACCAATTACTGTGCAATTCTTGCACAAAAATACTCGCACAAATGTCAAAAACTCAACGTCACAAATGTGGGACATCATAACATTATTTCAAAAAAAAATTACAAAAGCAAACACGGCCTACCATCTCCCCTTATAGCCGTCATATCCACACCATGGTCAATAAAATCACTACAAATATACAACTCGCACTCGCTTGTTAATGAATCGTTCGGTATTCGTCACGCCATTAATATTTTTAAAACAATTTAAACTCCCTCGATAGTGAACCATTTGTAATCGCTCGATAGTGAACCATTCGGTAGTCGTCACGCAATTGATATTTTGCAAACAATTTAAACTCTCTCGTTCGTGAACCATTCGTATTCGCTAGTTAATGAACCATTCGGTATACGTCAGGCAATTGATATTTTCTAAATGATTTAATCTCCTTCGATGGTGAACCATTTTGTAAACAATTTAAACTCCCTCGATAGTGAACCATTCGTACTCACTCGTTAAAATAAATCAATTAAGAATGAACCATTTGGTATTCGTCACGCAATGGATATTTTTTAAACAATTTAAACCCAGTCATAACAATTTGCTCAATGCTCATCGTTAAATGGATTTAGAAACTGCGCCTGCTTTGTCGATTTTTTTAATAGTTTAAAATCCCTTGTTTCATTTCACTCTGTATTGAACCATACGGTTCCTTTAATATATACCAAAACCATCAATATTTCACTCTTTACGAATTATATACCCTTTATAACTCGATACCGAACCACTCGATACTTCTGCTCGATAATAAACCACTCGATATTCGTCACTTAATAGATAACTCGATCTAAACAATTGCCCTCGTAACAATGTTCTTGATAAGGGGGGCGGGCGGAAGGAATGCGCTACTAGCACTAAAATATTCATCTATTAATGTTGTGCATTAATATTGATACCTTAAAAACCAAAACCACCTATTTTTAGACAACTCTTGATGAAACACTCCTCAAAACGGACTAGGAATTAAGTTAGGATAGGATAATATATACGTTCAACAAAAATCCATAAATTTCGATGTACAAACAAAAACAGCTATGGGCCCTCCAAATCGGCAACTGACATGGAAAAAAAGCGTTACACTTACAGAAAAAACAACAACAATAGTGTCTGCATGCACAAATAAGTCACCTACTATACAATGACCCATGTGGCCGGGGGGGGGGGGGGGTGCATCCCCCTTTCAGCCGCTGACTAATGTTTTGATACTAGCAAAATTGGGCCAACAATAATAAATGGAATGCTGAAATTCTTACATTTATTTCCGAATTGCCTTAGAATGCACGAGAAAGCATCGTAGATTTCAAACTCCCCCCCCCCAGGCATACCCCGGACCCCCTACCAGGGTGTGCCTTCGACACGCCTTCACTCAACCCCTTCATATCAACTCCCCCCTCGTTTTCTGAAAGCTAGATCCGCCCCTGATACTACATTTGTAGAGCATTATGAAACATAAGCAGTGTTTCATTTTAATAGCAGTATTGAGATAAAGGTCTATAATTGCAATGGCTACAATGCAGATTAAGATCTTGTATGCCGATACATCCGGAGGAGTGAGGTTCATTTTCTTGAGAGTGAAGAAAGACTTGTAATCATCGCCTCGGTTTCAGTCCTTACTCGTTGGAAACCAGGAGCATTGCGATATAATTGTAATGGCCACAATGCAGGTTAACATCTTTTATGCCGATATACATCCAGGGTACCGACGTTCCTTTTCTTGGGAGTGAAGAAAGACTTCCAAGACCCCGGTTTACTTGTTGGAAATCGGGAGTTCACAAGACACGTGTTGTGATACAATTCAGTGTAATTAATATTCCGTGCATAAAATACAATGGTTTAAGTCAGTGACGATACATTTCGAGTGAAGAATCAAACTTAAAACTCCAATATATCAATTTATAATTCCATTGCTCCGTTTTCCGTCTCTTCTTGAATGTGATTATTTTCCACCAAACTGCGGTACTGAAGCATCTTCCATGTAGCATGAATAACATTTTGAAGATAAATTCCGTTGATGTGCTTCCATTACTTGAGGCTTCTTGTGTAAATCCGCTGTCTGTAGTTTTACGGTCCGTAGTCGAAGGAAAACTATCGTGAACTTTTCCCCCGCCAAAATACGGTTCTAAGTGTCTTCCTTGTAGCATGAATTGAGCGAATGATTTGCAGGTACGTTCTGTTGATATTTTCCTATTATTTAAGCATCCCCGTGGAAATCCGCTAATTGTCGTCATACAGTTCGTAGAAAAACAGTGCCTTGGTGATGGAAACGTGTGATCTTTGAGTTCCTTGAGATTATTCTTGATGTCATCCCATATATAGCACAGTTTATTGATGGAAGCACACATCTATCGAGAAAATCATCTTAAAAGTCTTGAAGAATGTTCTTGAATCCATGAAGAAATCGATAGTTCAGGATGATATAAAAAAAAAAACTTCGAGCGTAAGCAGATATCTGAAGGAGAAACTGTCTTGAAGGAAAATAGTCTTGCTGGCGATGCCTGGGACGAAGCTGTCCAGACGAATAATTCTACACCATGCAACAATGACGATAGAAATTCAAGTTCCAAACCGATCCCTCTTACGCCCATTCGAAAAAGATTATATATATACTGTATCACTGAAGTTTAGTTTAATTAATTTCTTGGCTGAAGCTTGCTATTAACTTATAAAATATGAAAAATTGTGATCTCTGAGATCTGGAAATCATTCTTGATGGCTTCCCAAAAGCACAGTTTATGGATAGAAGCACGAATCTGTCGAAAAAATCATCTCAAAAGACGAAGAATTTTCTTGAATCCGTGGAGTAATCAATTGTTCAAGTCGTTTGCTGAAAGCTCTGTGCGTTAGCAGGTACCTGAAGGAGAAACTGTCTCGTTGTGGATGCCTGGTATAAGAAGCTGTCAAGACGAAGAATTCTACACCATGATGACAACTGAAATGAAACCCATCCGACATATGCCCCATCAAAAAAAAACCCCACTGAAGTTTAACTTCTTTTAAAAACATATTCTGATAATTACTTTCAGCATTTATTAACTTTGAATCGTAAAGATGCATTTGTAATATGGCCCTACTTAAGATGATCTGTTTTAATATTCATTTATTAAAAGATTGTTTAATTTTATATTATTTGAAGCTACTTTCCCCGCCCTAATCCCATTTTATAACCCATATGACCTAGGCTGCGCTTGGCGAACACATCGCTATAGCTTGAATGCTGTAGCAGCTGCCTGCAGTGCTGAGCTAGCTCACATTAACACCCCACCATTGCACAAACATAATCTATCACTCATAATCAATGTTCCCTCACTAAACAGCTTACCAATCTCATCACTAGATATGCAATTGTTACATATCTAACCTCACATTCCCCAAGACGGAAACAAAAATATCGACGGTTAATGTATACCGAAAGAAACCGA